GATAACTGGAATTTATAGGAAGAAGGCCTCAGGTATTAGGGCTGGGATTAAGAGAAAGCAGGGCTGAGTCGGCCAGTGTGGCTCAGTGGTTGAGCATCAGCACAGGAACCAGTTTGATTCCAGTCAGGGCACATGTCTGGGTTGTGGGCTCGATCCCCAGCGGGGAACACGCAGGAGGCAATCAATCGATGATGTTTCTCTCTCATCGACAATTCTATCTCTGTATCCCTCTCCCCCTCTCTCTAAAAATCAATAAAAACATATATTTTTTAAAAAGATAAATCGAGAGGTGCCTAGGTTTGCAAAATTTAAATCTTGCACCCAAATCTTGCACCCTACATCCTAGGCACCTCTCTTGCTTCACCCGAGTCTCAACCTCCTCAGGCCCCTGCCTGCCTGCTTCTTGCTCACCCTGACCTGTTTACCTGGCTAAGAAAGGGGCTGGCCCCAGAGACACCTTTCTCCGCTTCTGTCTTAGGGGAGCCAAGGAAAGCCAGTCTGGTGTCCCTTCCTGGACATCTGGTCCTCATTCCATCGCCTGTGAACCTGACAAGCCTCCCCCGCAGAAAGAACAATGGCCTAGCAGGAGAAGGGTTAACCAGACTGCCCAGACCTGCCCGCAGCTCCAGCCCTGCTTCTTATCTCAGGCCCACTCCTTCCCCAAAGGAAGCTCATATCTTGTTGGAACAGAGAAATCTCAAATGGCCCTGCCGGGTACCCTGAGTTTCCTGGGATAGTTCTCCCCAGTGCCCACACACAGCCGCCATCGTGGGGCCAACAGAAGGACCTCAGTCCTGCCCTTGAGAATTAACACCAACAGGTAGAGGGAGAGGCTCATGCCAGCACCCAGGCAGGTTCCCGGCTGTGGGGCCTCGCAGCCCAGCAGGTTAAACGTATAAACAAGCAAGAACTACGTACTGACCTTCTATTTTGCTATGAAAGGATATTTTTTAAAGGTATAATTTCCATCTTCTACCATCTTAAGTTCCTAAAGGAAAAGAAGTTTTAACGCAGAGAAGTAAAAATAAGGGCTGCTTTTTAAACTAAATACGTTTGGCTTTTTAATGATAACAGCTAGTGCTTAGGTAGAACATACTACATGCCAGGTGTTGTTCTAAATTCTTTACTTATATTAATAACATTTTTTAATATGTTTTTATTGATTTTTTAGAGAGAGAGGAAGAAAGAAGGGGGAGAGACACATTGATGAGAGAGAAACATCGATCGGCTGCCTTCTGCACACCCGCTACCCACAACCCAGGCATGTACCCTGACTGGGAATCAAACCAGTGACCTCTCAGTGCATGGGACAAAGCTCAACCTACTGAGCTACACCGGCCAGGGCTTAATAACTTATTTGACCCTCCGAACAATCCAGTGAGGAAGATACTAGTTATAGCTCCATTTTATAATGAGAATACTGAGTCACAAGGAAGTTACGTGACTTTTCCAAGGTTACAAGGTTACCCTGCCACTCTAACAGGTGAATTTTTCCATGTTGTCCTATTTCTCTTATGCCACCCGGGCCCAGTGCTGCTGCAGTCCCAGATGGGTTCCAGGACCGTCCCCTAGGACCGAATAGTACTTGGCTAGATTGGTGAAGCATGGCGCATGGACCCTGGCTCAGCAGAGCCCTCTTTTATTTTTTAACATTTTTTAAAATATACATTTTATTGATTTCAGAGAGAAAGGGAGAGGGAGAGAGAGTAATCTCAATGATGAGAGAGAATCATTGATGGGCTGCCTCCTGCACACCCCCTATTGGGGATCGAGCCCGCAACCTGGGCCTGAGCCCTGACAGGGAATCAAACCGAGTCCTCCTGGTTCGTCGTGGACGATCAACCACGGAGCCAGGCCGGCGGGCTTGGCAGAGACCTCTTTCAAAGGGCGTCCTCAAACCAAGCAGAGAGCGAGACAGATCACATGCCAGAGGGAGGCATGGCAGCAGCTGCCCCTCCCAGGGGGGCCGGGTGGGGGCATTTGCCTTGGTTTCTTCCCCTGAGCTGGCTGAGGGTGCCTTCCACTCTCCCTTCTGCACATTGGAAAGGAGAGGGGAGGGACCATCCCATTGTCTCTCCCAGAGCCTCTCCCAGCGAGTCTGCCAGGCAGCGCCAAGGCAGGGGGGCTATTGTTAGCCCTGATACCCGGCATTTTGTTTCCAGGAAAGGGCCAAGAAGGGAGCCTCCTAACCAAGGCCAAGGCCCCTCAGAAAGCACTGGCCCTGGGGGGTAGGCTGGGCCCATAGGAGCCGGTTACAGGCAAGCGCTCTTCCTCACCATGGGAATAGCTGCAGGGCTGCCTGGTGCACAGAAACCTGATCAGAATTCCTGCAGAGCATCGCCACAGCGCATCTGTCTTTTGCAGAAAATGTTACAGGAGGAGACGGAAAGAGCATTTCGGTTTCTTACCTTACTTTCTGTAAGGTGCGGCCGGACTGATTTCTGACATCCTGAATCCTTAAAGAAAGACAGGACAAGGTCAGGTGTTACAGAGGCATCTCAGAAACTTGCATTCACACCCTGGGGATGCTTATAACTAAGGAATCGTGCTCAGAAAGCAGAAGTAACTACCCGTCACTTGAAGCCGCTGAGCCAGTTCTAACATAACTAACGGTTCTCTGGGTGAGACGCAGCAGAGCCGAGAAATGTCCAGTTCCTGAATGTGTTCACTTAACGTGGTTGTGCCAGGCACTGTTCTAGGAGGAGGAGGTTCAAAGATGGAAAACAGCCGCGACTCTGCTGCTGGGGGGCCCACAGTCCAGCAGAGAACACGGATGTGTCAGTATGAAGGCACAGCCCTCACTGGCTGGGGCGCTGCAGGGGAGGGTGGGGAG